TGAACATGTCCTTAAATATTAGTCATTAATGGACAGAATAAATAAAATACTGCATTACTATAAAAATATATATATAACTCTATATTATAACTACTCCATAGTACACTTGCAAAGAAGATTCACTTCTCAGGAACTCAATGAAATTTCAGAACCATTTACGCCTACAGTTTTGTTAGATATCGGTATTCAACACAATTTAAACAGAACAATTAAATAGGAGCAGACAATTTGGGTTGCACATTTAAAGTGGCCCAAAAAAGCAGCTTCCAATATACTAAGAATATTGTGCAATGAGATATTGTTAAGTTAGTTCTTGACTCAAAAAGAAAAATAACTAGATTTCAACATTGTTTGGAAAAACAGGCATCATGTTTGCTCTCTGGGACTGAAGAAAAATACAGGTTTCTTCTACATCTTCAGTAGGTGCATGCACACAGATCTGATAAGGAATTGCACAGGCAGAGATGCTAAAAATTCATATGTAGAAGCAACATAAGAAAATCACTAAAAAGAGACATATCCTCAGGTGCTTACAGGGTGGCATTTTTGTGTTCTTCTAGCTTTTTTTATTTAAAAGGTTTCTTATTACCCCTAAGAGTTCAAATACAAACAAATATTCCTAATACTTGCTTCCAGGTCTATATAAATTCCCCCCAACTACACTATTCTCCTCCACTGAAATCAAATGTACGTCTGGCTTACGTAGGCACTAGTGCCGGGCGTAGCGAGGAAGGGCTCATAGTCATTCAACAGATATTTATTGCAAGATGCAAACTCTGTACCATGTGCTGGAGTACTAGGGACTGTGCAAAAATATATTAAAAAGGATAGCCAGCATCCTGATTTGTAATTTGAACAAATAAAGTGAATACAAATACAAATAAAGTGAAAAAGTTAAGAGAAAAAGGAATGGAATAAAATGATAAAATGAAAAGGAATGGGGAAATTATTTTTCTACTCTTGGCTCCTTCTTGCATGATTATCCTACTGTCGCTCTACATTTTTCTAAGTTACTATAAAAAGCTTAAGGACATGGTCTATCCTGTTTTTCGCCATATCTTTAACACCTGCCACAGTAGAGAACATAAATTTAAGCGAGTAAATACATAAATAGTAAGATGTCACACAAGAGAAACAGAAAACGCCTTGAGCGCTAAAACCACCACCGTGAACAACTATGTCAAGCATTAAGGAATCGGCTTATTGAATGTACCTGAAATAAATCATGTAAATGCTTTCTCGAATTTTTATTTCTTAAAATCCATCTTTTATGCCTTTGAAGTGGGGACTTCAGAAGTTTTGGAAGTGTCGCTCAGCGTCAAAAACTAAGTCTTTCAAGAAGATTTACAAAGAAAAGCAAAAACTAAATCTTTCAAGAGTAGTTCAGGCTAGATTTCTAGGTCTATCAAAACAGGATGTAATTTTGCATGTAAATATGCATGTAATTTTCTAAATAGTAAAAGGTTCTGTCTAACTATGTTCCTCTTGGACAGAGTCTGAGCAAAAACCAGATGCTGAAGGGAGGCCTCAAGTTTCTGAATTGCTTTTACCGAGGGAGAGGGGATCCTGGCACCTTACTGCCTAATCCCCCTGGACGCTCAGGCCCGCAGGAACCAGCAGCCGCTCGGTGGCTGAAACCAGGAACAGGTAACATGAAACTCCCTGGCCCAACACACACACCTGCCCGTGGGCTGACTCCCCTCCAGCAGATAACCCTGACCCCTTTAGAAACTGCAGAGAAAGCCAGGAAATCAGCTCCAAGGATTAGTGCCTCTGCTCGGCTTCAGGGGCCCCAGCCCACACCCTAATGGTTCTGAGAAGCTTCCACCGCCAAACCCAAGAACCAGAGGCCGAGGCCTGAAGGCTCACAGTGACCTGCCCAGGCTCTTCGCGGAGGCAAGCCGCTTTTCTCCCAACACCCTCTGAGAAATGCAAGCGATCTGTTCAGGATGGAACTGTTTTCCCCTCGCTGTACGTAAATTATTCATTACCCCCCTCCGTTTGCTCGTTTTGCCCTCCGTTTTTCTCTGTCTTCTCTCTGCTCTCGCTTTACCAGTATTTCTCTAAGTGACCTCAATTGCCTTGTGTTCTGCTCCCCTCAGAAACTTAAAGAGGAAACCGGATTCATTAGCCAAATTAGTGAATCATAGATTTCTTTTCAACATATCGTGGAGTAGGGAAAGCTGCTTTGTGATTCCTTACATATCCAGCTTTTTAGAAAGCAATTGTTTAAATTACTCTGTTTTAAACCTTTGAACTATGTCGTCTTTCTCTGACACGCTGATGTTGCACTGCAACGTGGGTTGTTATGAAAACCCATTTCTGTGGTCAGTGAATCCAAACGAACAGCAGGGGGCAGTAGCACACCAAGAATTGTGGAAACTGCGGGGCTCCCAGAAACACCGCTGAATTGCTGCACTGGGTCTCTGGCCGCCGCCGCGATGAGCTCAGCTCTCAGATGAAGCCTTTTGTTTTGTGTCCTGTTTTACAATGCACTGTTCAGTTTTCTATGAGTTGTGACTTATTCGGACAGCATTTCACTGTGACAGTTTAGCTTAAGAAAAAGAAAGGCGAAGGAGAAAAAGGAGCAAAGGAGAAGGAGAAAATTGATATGCTGCCAAATGAAACACATAAAGACAAGGAAGAAGGCATCCTGCATATATTTAAAGTTTGTCCCTTCTCTCTTCCCATCCACTTGAATCCTGAACGCTGTTTTTCTGGATTCCAGACTTGATTCACCCCATCCCTGCCCCCATACACACACTCATTTCATTCCACCTTCTTCTGCCATAGAGTTTTCAGTTAAAACAACAAATTTCTTTCTAAAAAGAAAAAAACTGTTTTCAGCCAAATACTTGACTTTTTGAAAGAATTCAGAAAACTTCTCTGTCGTGTTCTGGCCTTTGGTCAAGCTTCCCAGTATAGAATCTTAATGTTTTTATACTTTTTGAACTTTTACTAGTCAAGACACATTTCATATATATGTTTCAGTAAAATTCTTCCCCTGTAAACTGACACCTTCAGATAAATAGTGAAAAGCTGTAGGTATGGATCTCTGTCTGACTTGTTTGGGGGCAGAATATACAGTAGAAAGTGAAACATCACAGATTTGGTGAATATATTCAAGGATTGTTTCCACTGTCTTGGAAAGCGTTTAGTAATCCAAGCCTCAAAGTCAGCAGAGAAGAAACTAGTTTCATGCATAATTTGAGTTGGACCTCAAAATATAATACCCATAAGGCTGGCTTCCTTTCCTACCTAGACTGGAATTCCCAGAGTTACTAATGTATTCCCATAGAGTTATTAATTTATGTTTGTGGGATGGCAGAAGTAATATTATTTCAACGCCCAGCGCCAAAATTCCTACTATTCTCCCGCGTCATCCACTCTAGTCACACCAGCCTCCTGCTCTTCTAGGGAAACGCACCAGGGAGCCTGTGCCGCAGGGCCTTTGCCCCAGCTGTTCTCTCCTCCAGGGTAAGTCTCACCTCACTTATCTGCATGACTCATTCCTTCATCTACTAGAAGAGTTTATGCAAAAGTCACTCAGCAAGGCCTTCTCTGAGCACTTATTTAAAATGGAATATCCCCCCAGCATTTTCATCCCCCTTCCCTACTTTATTTTCCTCCGTCATCGAATATGCTAGATATTACATATAAATATAACATGAGATATCTGAGACCAAACATATCAACCAAGAGAGGGCTTAAGTCTGCTATTAAAAGGACAAAAAAATTGGTTCCAAAGCAAAAGCCAAATCTCTACAGCAGATAAAAGACAAAGACACACCTAAAACAAAAATAATTCAGACCTGCTAACCGTGAGAGGGTGAGCAAAGGTACACCAAGGAGATGCAAAGAAAAAGAATGAAAGAATTGAGATTCTGAAATCCAATTAAGTGGAATTCAGACCAAAAACCATTACCAAGACAAAGAGCACCTTACAATGCCACCGGCTACAATTCACAGTGAAAATAAAATATTTATGAAAGATTTGCAGCAAATAACACAGCAGCTTCTTTCATATAGCAGCAATTACAAGAGATTCAAAGAGAATGGAAATACTTAAAAATAGCAGACTTTAGTACACTTCTCTGAGTCCAAGACAAAAAACTGTATGATTGACATTTATGTTGACTCTATAATTTACTTATAGAGATATGTATGCCTCAATAAATTACATTAAAAAATGCAAATAATATTCTCCATCAACAATATGATAAAAGTAGGAATCCATAACAATCAAAATATAAGAAAGCCTTCCTAACTTGGAATTTTAAATTTTTCTATTAAACATAGTCAGGTTCAAGGGGAAATAGCAACTGATATCAAGAATTTCTAGAAAAACAATAATGAAAACATGATATCAGAGTGTACAAGGTGACACTAAAGAGAATTCAGAATAAAATGATTTAAATATTTATATCAGTAACAATGAGAGAAATAAATAAATGAACTAGACGTTACACTCAAAAAGCTAGAAATATTTGGGGGCTGGCCCAGTGGCATACTGGTTAAGTTTACACACTCTGCTTTGGTGGCCCAGGATTTGCAGGTTCAAATCCTGGGTGCAGACCTACACGCCACTCATCAAGCCATGCTGTGGTGGCGTCCCGCATACAAAGTAGAGGAAGACTGCCACAGATGTTCGTTCAGGGCGAATCTTCCTCACCAAAAAAAAGCTAGAAATAGTTAAGTTTTGCTCTTTTTTTTCCACTTTGGATTTAACTTTCTTTTTAATTAAGCAACCTAGATTTGAAAACAACCTGAAGCAAATAAACCTAACTTTATTAAATTGCATTTAGAACTTCTACAATGAGTTATAATATTGGTACTGTTCATTTGAAATTATATTATGGGAAAAAGTAACCAAGCAGTTATGTTCATATTATTAGGAACCAAGCTTTTCAGCAGAAAGGAGATCCAATATAAAATCAAAAAAGTTAAGTAAAAAATTCTATAAACTTTCATTAGAATTGGATATTGGCACAAATTTATGATTTATCTTTCTTTGAAAAACTACATATTTCCTCAATCTTGTATTGAAAACTCTGAGAAGTAACGACAAGTCGTTTAGCTATGAATATCTTTAAGTGCAAAGATCAGGGTAACCAAATACCATTTTCATGGGAAGCAACGACGAGTCCTTTGAGAAGTGGCTGACTCTATGTCTGGAGCCGTGAATGAGACTGCCCCATAGGAGACTGGGACTCTTAGAGTGTCAGAAAGCAAGGAGGCCTTTGCGCAGGATATTTGCAGTTGTCAAATGAATGCAGGAACCTAAGGTGGGCAATCTGACCTTTAACATGAACAATCACTGCAGTCATATAAAAGTGTAAATAGACATGCCAATAGAATCGACAGAAAACTCTGAGAAGACGAGATTCAATACCTAGCAAGATATAAAATTACACGTAAAAATCAATATCTTCATATATTTAAGCTATAAGCAGTTAAAGGGAAAAATAGAGGAGCTGACCCCATTTACATTACCAACCAAAAAGAAAATACCCTAGGAATAAACTCAGACAAGAAATATGCAAAACCTGTATGAGAAAAATTTTAAAGCTTTCCTAAAAGACGCAAAACTGGGACTTGAATAAAAGGAAAAATAAAACTTCCTCTTCAATAGACTAATGCAAACTCATAAATTGATACCAGTTTTTTAAAGTATTTTTGGAAGTAGATTCTATAGTTTACATGGAAAAAGTAAATAAGCAAGAATATCCAAAAAACAGGAAAAAAAAAAAAAGCATCAATGAGACAGGCCCAGCCAGCCCTCCCAGATACTGGAATATATTATACAGTTTCTGTAATTAAAACAGTATAATATTAGCACATGAGTAGACAATCAGATCAGTGGAAAAAATAGGAAATATAGATATAGACCCAAGTACAATGTGGAAATGTATGTATGTGATAAAAGTAGTATCTCAAATCACTGGGGGGGAAAAATAGACTCTTTCAAATCAAACATTCTCAGAACAGCTAAATAGTCCTTTGAAAACAGATAAAATTGGATATAACATCACTTAGGTGGAATTCCAGCCAAAAAAACCCCGAAAAATACTCAACGTGTATCCTCTAATGAGGAACCAATCAGAGTATCCAAATTGAAGGATATTCTGGAAACCACTGGCCTGAACTTTCTAAAAAAGTCCGTGCCAGTAAAAAACAACAAACAAAAAAGGCAGAACAAGTGTTCTAAATTGAAGGAAATTAAAGAGACTGGATAGCTAAATGCAGTATGTGATCCTTGTTAAATCCTGGGTTTATCTTTTACAAACAACAACAGAGAAGGAAAGATTCTTGGGGGACAAGTGAGGAAATTCGAATATGGACTAATAAAATTATAGTGAGATAACAATGGTGGATTCCGACTTCCTGCGTACGTCTGAAGACCCTGATGACACATTTCCTACGGACACTGCAGTCTGAGTCCTCCTCAACAGGCGCGATTGCGGCCCGCCCTCCCCCACACACAGTTGGCAGCGTCTGGAAACATTGTTGGTTGTCACAACTGGAGGAAGGGAGGGGTGGCACTGGCATCTAGTGAGTGGAGGCCAGGGGCGCTGCTAAACATTGTACGATAAACGAGACAGCTCCCATCACCCCACAACAAAGACTCATCCTGCCCCAAACGTCCACAGTGCCGCGATCGAGAAACCCAGATGCAGGAGGCTTCCCTTTTCCTTAGCGGATATCGACTGAGATGTGAGGCTGAATTCAATGAAACTGGTTTTTCGCAGGTCAAATATTGGTAATATTTCAGGCGGGAGGGTTATCATGTTCACAACTAACTCTCAAATTGTTTAGCAGAAAACACTGCACATACATGGCCCTCCGCGCGGACTCCCCTCCTCCCCGGGGACCCGAAGGTAGCACCCCTCCCGGGGCGAAGAGCTGACAGGCGAGCCTGCGCGGTGGGAGGATCCTGCGAGAGGCCACTGCGCATGCGCCGGCGGCCTGCCGCACCCACGCGGCGCTTCTGCAAAAGTTACAGACCGCCGGGTGGCCGCGCGGTGCGGTCACGCGGAGCTGCCCACCCAGTAGAGAAGAAAACTCCCGTGGGGCATCGGCTTCTTCGGGAAAGACAACGATGCTTCCCCCGTTGAAGCCCGGAGTCCTCCTCCTAGGCCATCCGCCAAGGGCTGCAGGGAGCGTGGCTCATCCTTTCGGAGCCCCTCCCAGGAAGAGTCAGTTGTGTGTGGCCCGCGGTGCCCGGCCGTCCGTTCCAGGCTGGACTCTCCAAGGTGAGTTTTCACTCTCTCTTTAGTGGATTCCCACGTCCTGTGTCTGACGAGCTGGGACAGTACGTCTCGTGACAGCACGGACCGAAAGTGCCCGGGCAGGCGCGTTCCTCCCCCGGCTCCTCGCCAGCAAGCGTGCGCCCAGATAGCATTTTGAAATACCTTCGTGTTTTTCAGCCTAGAGTCTCTTAATCAAGAAGTTGGCAGACTTTTTCTATAAAGAGCCAGATAGTAAATAGTTCAGGATTTGCAGGCCGGGAACGGACCCTGTCGCATATTTGTCTTTTTTTTTTTATTTTTTAACAACCGCGTAAAAATGTAAATACTGCTCTTAGCTGCTGCCCTTACAAAAACATGCGGATTACACTGATCGTTCACTTTACCGAGCACGGCGGCGGCCAGAGCTTCGGTCAGGCCTCCACCCCTTCCCAGGTCCGACCACAGTTTCGCAGTAAGAACTCAGGTTGCATGAGGACTGTGACCCACCAGGTGTCCTGGGCTCCACATGCCCAGCCATAGTTCACAGTCTTTTGGGTCCCTCCACCTGCACTTCGCTCCTCTTCCCTGCTGGGTGGCCAGTGGAGAGTTCCTGGCCATCAGCAGCGCCATCAGGAAACCTCCAGACCAGCAGCCACACCCTCCTTCACTCCCTTCCGGTCTGGGAGCAAAAACCAAAGTCTTTATTTTGTGAATAAATTAGTATAAAAGTAATACAGGGGTATCTCAGACAATTGTATTTTATAGCATTTTTTTCCTAGTGATAAATGTAATAAATGTTCACTCTGGTAATTTGGAAAATACTGAAAAGTTTATAGAAGAAGATAATTCTCTGTAATCCCAACCCACAAAAAATAACCCAAATGTGTATATATTCTTTTAGTCCGTTTTTTCACTGCGTACTAAAGGACAACTTACTGAACAACTAGATTTTTAAAAATATTTCCTAGTAAACTTTTGTTGAAGTACAAAATACAGAAAATAGGCAAACTACAAATGTACAGTTCGGTAAATTTTGAAAGACTAACACAGTCATAACCTTGCAGCCACGACCCAGCTCAAGAAATAGACTGTTTCTAGAGCCCTTCCTCCCCCTGCCCAGTCAGGGGCAGCTTCTCCCCAAACATAACTGCTGCCTTATCCTCAGATACCTATATAGATGAGTTTTGTCTGTTCTTGAATTTCACATGAAATGAATTATTCAGTAAATATTCTGTACTGTTTCATTTCTTTCACTCTATATTACATGTGAGATTCATCCAGGGTGCATTAACAGGTCTCCTTTTTTATTTTATGTTGTATGGCATTTAATTATATATATGAATATACCACAATTCATCCTTTATGCTGTTATTTTTTAAATTTCAGCTATATTGAGATATAATTCACATATGATACAATTTATCCATTTAAAGTGTCCAACTCAGTGGTTTTTCAGTGTATTCACAGGTAGGTGGGACCACCACCACAGTCAATTTTAGAACATTTTCATCACCTCAAAACAACTCCATACTCTAGCTATCACTGCCCTGACCCTGCACTCCATCTTTTCCAGCCCTAAGCAACCACTAATCTACTTTTTGTTTGTATAGATTTGCCGATTCTGGACACTTCCTAGAAATGGAGTCATATAGTATGATGTCTTTTGTGACTGGTCTCTTATACTTTTATTGGACGTTAATGTTATTTGCAGGTTTGGGGGTATTTCAAATAATACTGCTGTGAACATTATATTACTTACCTATATATTATATGTCCTGAAGACGCATATCTCTATTGGGATATATACCTAAAAGTGGAATAGCTTGGACATAGGTTCCGCTTAGGGTTAGCTGTATTTGATAGTGCCAAATACTTTTCAAATTTACACTCCCACCAGCACTCTATAATGAGTGTTTTCATTGCTCCACACCCTCACCACCGTTGGGTGATTCTGTGGTTTCAGTTTACACTTCTCTGATGACTAATGAAAAAGAGCATTTTCTCATGTGCTTATTAGTCGTTTGAACATCCTCTGAAGTCCCTTTTGGGTCTACTCCATTTTTGTATTGGATTGTTTGTGTTTTTCTACTTGATTTTTACATTCTAGATGTGAGTCCATTTTCATTTGAGTGCTCCAAAAAAACATCTCTTCTTAATCTGTGGCTTGCATTTTAACTATCTTCTTAAGTTTTAATGTCAGTTTTCAATTTGTATTGAAGTCTGATTTGTCATCTTCCTTTATGCTTAGTGCCTTTGCTGTTCTAAGAAGTCATTGCCTGGAAGGACCTTCTCCTCTGTTACCATCTAAAAACATAACTGTTTTCTTGTTTGAATATTTAGATCTACTATCCATGTAGAATTGATTTCGAAGTATGGTGTGAAATAAGGGTTAATTTTGTTTTCATATAGCTGTCCTGTTGACCCAGGTCCTTTTCTTGAAAAGACCATCCTTTCCCCACTGCTCTGCAGTGTCACCTTTGTCATAAATTAGTGCAGATGTTGGAATGAGTAGACAAGGACTGTAAAGTAAACATCACAAATATATTAAAGAATCTTACTAAAGATATAATAGAGGAAGAGGGAGGGGATTTCAAAAGAGATACAGATAATATTTTTTTAAAGTAAAATGGAAATCGTAGAAGTGAAAAATATAATTATCTGAAATTATTTGGGATTGTCAATAGGTTGGGCACAAGGTCTCTAGAAATGGTCCAGATTTAAGTGCACTGAGGAAAAAAGTGGATTTTTTGAAGAAGAAGAGTGTCCCTGAGCTGACATCTGTGCCAGTCTTCATCTATTTTGTATGTGGGATGCCGCCACAGCATGGCTTGATGTGTGGTGTGTAGGTCTGCACCCAGGATCCAAACCCACGAACGCTGGGCTGACAAAAGTGGAGCTGAAGAGCTTACCACTATGCCACCGGGCCTGCCCCGAAGAAGCAGTTTTTAAATAAATACAGCATTGATGAGTCATGGAATAGGTATCAGGTGGTCTAACATACATGACATTGTACTTCCAGAGGCAAGGAGAGAGAATATGGGGCAGAAAAATATTTGAAAAAATATTTACAAAAACTTTCCAAAATTGATCAAGTATATTTTATCTGGGATGTTTGTTTACTTGTTGTCACTGGAGAGTAGATCCCAATAAGCTCGCCTGCTATGAATGGAATCTATAAGTTAGTGTAAATAAAGTTTTACATCTACCGAATGAGCAGCAGGGCATTTTAAAGTTGCACAAAATGTGGAAAAACTACCTTGTTGAGTTGAACTGTCCAGAGCATTTTTGGACTTTTAATATAAATGTTGCCTCCCCACTAGAGGTCTGTAGTACCATCCCAGTCATAGTGATGAGGATCGAGGCTGCCCCGGGGAGAAGCCCAAGGCTTTCTGCCCTACATACCATCTATATCATCCTTCAGGAAGCATAGGACGTCCTGACCTGATCGACCTGATTCTTATCCATAGTTACAGGACCACCCCATAACCAGACCCCACCTACACTGATACCATTTTAACGACTTTTTTTTTACATGATCTTTCCTTTGTCTTGTAAAGAAATAACTCACCTATCTATGCCTCATAAATTTAGCTCATCACTGCCCGTGGATGGGTCCTGTCCCAGTGCTGCAGCTCTTTACTGCCCGTGGGTCCTGTCCCCTTGCTACTCCATGCTATCCTCTGAATAAAAGAGCACTACTACCAGACCTTGAGAGTCCAAGAAATCTTTCTTTCAACTCCTCGGCTCCCGAAGCCACATCAATAGTGATACCCAGATGTCTTCAGAGTTTTTCCAGATATCTCCTCAGTGCACAGCATGGCCCTTTCCCCAGCCCCTTTCTCACCTCACCTCCCAGACAGAGTTCACGTCTCCAACCACGCTGGCCTCTCTCCATCTCGGGTTTTTGGGATTGTTTTCCCTCTTCCTGAGTGCTCCTCATATCCATGTGTGCTTTCTCCTGCTCAGGTCTTTGTTCATGGGCCAGTTTCTCGGTGAGCCCTGTAGATGAAAGAAAACAAAGCAAAAACCGTGCACATACTTTCCTCTACTCCTAGTTTACTTTTATTTATGGCATTTATATGAAATGCTGTGTATTTGAGTTATTAATTTGCTTTCCCCACCAGAAGGGGAGAGGGGAATTTACCAGTTTTGTTCTCTGTAGTGTCTTCTATACCTTGAATGACTAAAAAATTATAATTGTTAACGTTTTTCTCAGGGCTGGCATGCCGGCAAGCTTAATGTATTCCTGAAAGCCCCCTATATCTTTCAGGGCATTGCTTCAGTTTTTCATGACTAAGAAAGCCCTGCTAGTATTCCAGTAATTTTTACATTTTTTAAGGTGTGTTTGAGTTTCTTAGAAAAAAGTCTTACAGCACTAAAAACTCCAGCTTTTTGCCAAGGAGAGTAAGAAATGTGATATTGTGGTTTCCAAAGCAACAGAAAGCTTTACCTGGTTAAACAGACTGCAACTCCTCCTTGTTAAATTGAAGCATCCAGCCAAACAGCCAAAGGCTCCTCAGGAAGGAAAACGGCTTAGAGCTGTCATGAAAGAAATTTGCCTATTCAATTAGAATCTAATTTGTACCAACTTTTTTTTCTTCAGGCCATCAGGCTTCAGGATGGATGATGAACTTTCAAAAAGGAAAAAGATGGAAAATCGTCGAAATTACCATAAACTGTGCTGCCAGCTGACTAGGTGTTTCTTTGTAGCACGTGCAGAGTCAAGGCAGATTGTATTCCTGCATTATATAACCTACCAGCAACCTACTTACCTCCTGTCTTAATCAAGGTTATTCTTGAAAGCAGAGCCTGAGACAGAGGTAGCTGCATGCTCTTTGGGAATGTGATCCTAAGGAGCACGAATGAGAGAGGGGAGTGCAGGGAGCTGGGGGGGCAGAGAGTCAGGCAAGACAAGGTCGTGTTATCACGTGGTCCGCTACTGTTGTGGTTACTTAGCGCAGAACCTCCTCAGGATTCTTATTAAACTTTATCTCAGAACTGGCTGCCCGAGGGACGAACAGGGGAAGCATTTCTCTGTACTGTGTGCTGAGGGCTGCTCCCATGGGACGTTAATTCCCCCATCCCTATGGGTTGCAAATACAGGAGAGCCTCCTGGTACCAGAGCGTCACACAGTGCCGCATCAGAGAAGCCTGGGGACAGGAAGCTCGGTTCTTGGTCCCTGAAGGGCAGCACTGTCTGCACAGAGCAGGGTGAAACCGGCCCAGAACTGTCCACTAGAGCTGTGGCTGGACTCGGAGGTTGAAGAGATCTGCAGCGGGGCGCACGAGGCAGCTTATAAGCCTCCGGAATGTGCTATCAGCCTTGTCTAGATCTCTTTCCTCGCTTCCTCCTATAATCAAACTTTCAGGGTCCAGCACAAGAGTGGCAGAAGGGTTAGATAGGGAAGTTAAATGTGTTAGAAGATGTACGTTACTAACAGTTGTGACCTTGAGCAATGTTTGTAAGAAATAGAAAGTGACACTAGAACTGGGAAAATTAAAAATGATTCTACTTGAAACATGGGACCTTTGGGTAGAGATAGTAGATATCTTCTAAACTCATGTAATCTCAGAAGCAATTATGAATTTTTGGAGAAAAATGGAGAAATAAAATTAACCATTTCTTATATGTCTCTATGAGCTTTATAAATCAACGTCATTAACTTTTCTCAAGATTTCCCAAGATATTTCCCATCTCAAGTACCCCACTGTCAAACACTCTTGATACGGAGCTTATAACCAATGAAGAGAAAATTGGTAGAAACAGAGGAAGAAAAACATTGGGATAATTTACATCACATAAAGCATTGGCATTAATATTGGTTGGAATAGGGGAACCTGAATGCTGTGACTTGGGGTTCCTCTGTGAGGTCCGTGCTCCCTGGAATAGTTTTCTCTCTGCCTGCACCCCTGTGATGTCATCCTCCTCCTCTCTTGCTTGGTCTGGAATCACCACAATAGGATAAAACCTTTGAGTTAGTCAATTTGGTATGCCTTGGGCTCCGGCTATTTGCTATATATTGGTGCTGTACGTATGAATAAGACGATATAAAACATCCAAAACTTTCAGAATACATAGTTTTTAAAGGTACCCTCAGAACATTTACCAAAACCGACCATATGATTGATCACAAATCATCTCAACAAACTTCAAAAGATTGAAATTTCAAGGGCTGGTCAGGTCGCACAGGGGTTAGGTTCACATTCTCCGCTTTGCAGCCCTGGGTTTGCTGGTTCAGATCCTGGTTGTGGACCTACGCAGTGCTTGTCAAGCCATGCTGTGGCAGGCATCCCACATGAAAAGGAGAGGAGGATGGGCACAGATGTTGGCTCGGGGCCTGTCTTCCTTGGCAGGAAGAGGAGAATTGGCAGCAGATGTTAGCTCAGGGCTAATCTTCCTCAAAAAAAAAAAAAAAAGAAAAGAAAAGATTGAAATTTCATAGAGTATGAATTAACCCAGAAATCAATACTTAAAGATTAAAAATTTCTCAAATGCTTGTAATTTAAGGAACATAGTGCTAATGATCTGTGAGTAAACTATAAATCACAGTGCAATTTAGAAAATATTTTGAGATGAATTATAAAGAAAATATATCAAAACTTGGCAGATGCCATGAAAGCAAATGCTTATGGGAAATTTATAGCTCTAAATACATATATTAGAAACTTTACCAAAAGATTGACTATCCGTGTTCCACGAAGCCAGGAAAAAAGTTGTGGGAAGCAGCTTCTCAGACATTGGACAACTGCCACAAAGGATGATCAGTGAGGGAGGCGAGCCAGCTGACCCTACACTTGCCCTGCCTTCTGGGGTAAGCGCTGGAGGACATTGCGGGAGCAGGGGCTTTGGCAGGCCAGAGCAGTCTTGCTGAGCTGAGGAGACAAAGATTGCGGTTGAGTGAGACTGAGATGCCGAGTATCAGCGAGGACGAAGGTATATGGAGAAAAAAATTCCAAAAATCTACACACCAATCCTTTAGTGTCCATTGCTGAGCACTAAGCTTAATTCCCAAAACTAGCACGAGAATGGGCAACATTACTTTCCATCCAGCCATACTGGACCATCCCCACTGAGAACTCCAGACATTCACTGGAGGTCCGAGGAAGGTTACACCTTAGGTAAAAAGCAGGGATAAACTAGCCTGATAGTAAAATCTACGCTAGACTTGACCCCTAAAAAAGCTTAAAAACAAGCCTCGATTATGAAGCTGAGCCACAAGTATCAAACTACCTGGCAGAACAAAGTCCAAATTCTTTCGTTCAGGTCCTCCAAGAAGCACATGCAAAAAGGATTAAGTTTACGAGAGATTTATTTGGGGACACGCCTATGGACACTGAAATAGAGAGGAAGTCAGAGGAAGCAGAGAGTCTTCAGGCCACGTATCATGTCTGACCCCTTTGAAGAAAGAGGGAAGGAAGGAGGGTTGAGCAGCAAGAGTCTCAGACTGCAGCACAATTCCAAGAAAGTCTATGGTCAGGCTGATGAAGAACCCTCCAGCCCAAGTTGACCATCAGAGGAGTATCCTACCTCACAGGAATGGGCCTGCCTTAGTACACCTGCTCTGCTCACGTTCTGATGGGAACAACCCATGGGAACTGTAGCCCTGGCATGAAAATATCCATGGATTCCGAGAGCAGTAGCTGGGGCCCTCAGTCAGTCAAGCTCCCCTCAGCAAGAGATCTGGTGGTCATGGCTATTACAGTCCACCCCTTGTGCTGCATAGCTCTGCTCAGGGAGCAAGTCCTCCATGGTTCCCGTGGGGTACCTCTCTTCCTGAGAAACACTTAGAAAAGGGAGGTTAGTAGGATGAAGTGCATTCCCTGTCACTGCAGTTGATCCAAGGGCTGCAAGTGGTCCTCATCTCCTCCTCCAATATCCCATTTTGGATTCTTCTCACACTTGCCAATCACCCAGTGGTTTACCTGATGATGTGGTGCAAACGGTCATTCCTGAGAGTCTGAACCCTTAGTAATCATGCCCTTCTTAGGCTGGGTTTGCCATATATGGCCGTTTGTGTCGGTTCACAGTTCTAGTGGGGCAAGAGAGCACCAGGAGACACCAAGTGGATCACGTTGAGATCCACACATATCCCTCCCTGTCCCATTGTGTAGAAGCAGCCTGACCTCCTGCTCACAGTGGTCAATTTCTCTGTAAATATGGTGATTCCTCACCTGCACGCCCCTAGACACAAGGAGTACAAAGTGCCCTAGTGGCAACCATTTCTTGTAGCTCAGTTGGACCCTGACTGTGCTCCTTGACAAGAGCATGCCCCTTTTTGGGAACCAGGACCTTTCAAGTTTACAAAGGGCAGAGTTGCAGGAGCACAAATGCTTCCAATAATGTCATCAGGAGTGTTAGAAATGAGGCCATTCCTTTTGCCAACACATTGCACCCATGTATCCTTAAAGATGACAACCCATGCTTTCAGAATGTTGCCTCAAAGTTCATACTTTAGCTGTGTCTTTAGAAGACCATTCCACCATTCCGTGAGGCTGGTGTCATGGATGAGGCTGCAGCGTGGTGTAGTATGTGATAAGACCAGGGCGTTCCTTTGTCATGAGCCCTCTCTCGCACCTTCACCACCATGAAGTCGCTGGATACTATAGCAGTCCTTTTCGTGGTGCTGGCTGAGGCTCTGCAGGTAGAAAGGCAAACCCATACCTGGATTAGGTTCTGTCCCTGTGAGGACAAACTACTGGCCCTTCCGGGATGGAAGAGGCCCATTACAGTCAACTTGCCACCAAGTGACCAGTTAATCTTGCGGAATAGTGTCATATCAAGGGCTCAGTGATGGTCTCTGTGGCTGACAGGTTAGACATTCAGAGGCTGCAGTAGCTAGATCAGCCTTAGTAACTGAGAGTCCACGTGTTGGGCCCATACATAACTTCCAGCTCTGCCGCTGTAGCTACTCCATTCATGTGCCCATCATGCCAGTTCAGAGTGTCTGATGACAAAGCCTGACCAACCTCAGCTGGCCAAGACATTCTGTTTATTTGGTTGCTAAGTGCCCTTCCTTGACGGATGCTTTCTGGGGGGTGTTAATGTGTGAAACAAAAATCTTCACACTCTGTCCACTCCCATATGTCCATCCACATACCTCTACACCAGACTTCCTTGGCTCCGATTGTCCAGTCCTTTTCCATCCAGGCTTTTGAACAGATGGCCAAGCCATTAGCCACTGCCCAGGAAACAGTACATATTCTCACCTGGAACAAGTCCTCTACACAAAACAGATGCCCGGGTACACCACTCACAGTTCTGCTTATTAGAAAGATTTGCCCTTTCCACTGTCCTTCAGGGCCACTCCTGGATGTAGCTATAGTGTAGCCAACTGTTTCTGATGCTCTTTCCTGATTGGGATTGAGAAGAACACATTCACCAGATCAATGACCCCATGCTGTGTACCCGAGCTCTTCTTAGTCTCTAGTAATGAGCAATACCACATCTGCACAGGAGCTGCAGTCAGGGCAAACACTAGGTTACACCTGCAGTAGTCTAAAGTCATTCTACCCAGTATCTTCAAAGCCCAGACTGGGAAAGTAAATGGAGAAACGATGGGGACCACCAATAAGCTCCACCTCCCCCACCCCAGCCAGATGTTTATGAATTGTTATCTTGGCTTGGGTGAGGAAGAGTTTCAGAGGTTTCCATTTGGCTATCCCCATTATGATAGCTCTTACCCTGTGGGCCAAAGGCTTTATGTGTATGTTGCAATCATTTCTAACCATACACTGAGGCACTGTGGACATGACCCCTTGTAGGTCCATGGACTCAGTGTCCACTGTGAGCCAGACTTTAGCTACCACAGGACTTGGTCCCCATGACCCCCAAATTAAGAGGGGGTCCATGATGTTGCTTTGGGTTTCCAGGTATCAATGTCAACTCACCCTACTTCCAACAGTCCTTGAAATGTCTGGATATTCCCCTTTCTCACTGTACAGTCACCCTAGTATTTGGCCATACTTCCATCTAGGGAAGAACTTGGTAATTCATAACACTATGTGCGTGCCACTGTATACCAGAGTCGTTCCTCTGACGAACCTGGCCACTCTTCCAGTGTGGGTTCTGTATCTGAAAATTGCCTCAGGTCTGGGAACTAAGCAAGGGATCGTGATTTTTCACTGGGGCCAATGTCCTCAGCCTCTTCCTTTTCCATTTTTGCCTTACTGATTATAGATGTTAAGCACCATCCTTGTTCCTTACCCATCTATTTTTGACTGTAGGGTATTATGTTTAATAATCATCTCCCAAACACCCTGAGGGTCAAGCCCCCTTGACTGCCCCTCCAACTTTACCAGTTGTTACAGTAATTATGGCCTCTTAGCTTTTGGTAAAGTACCAGTCCTCTATGACTTCAGGGCCCATCACTCCCAAGTGACATTAACAAGCAATCAGCCCTGGTCTAAAGAAGAGAGACACCAATGAACCTGTGATGCTCATGCCCTCTCTCAGGCACATCTTGGTGGCCTTAGTGAATCATGTGTCTTCTGGGCCCTGCTTTGGAACAAAATCATGTGGTGGATTTTTCTAGTCGCCTAATATATCCACTCCAGCATGACCACTTCCCTCAGCCTCTTTATTGCTGCTCCTGCCATTTACCAGGACAACCTGGACTTTTCCACTTCACT